GCTGCTCCGAGCCCCAGGGGAGTGGCGGCATATAAGTTTAAATAATAAATAAATAAATAAATAAATAAATAAGGAATACTGTTTAAAAGCTGAATTTGGAATAGGGAGACCCAAGTTCAATCTCTCCTTACTCATGGAATTTACCATGCATTCTGTCTTGGAATCCATTGCTTCTCACACTCCACCACTTTTACCACTCACACAGCTCACTGTATTTTCCTCCTACGCCTTCCCACACCTCATGCCCTTTAAATGTACTCCACCCTTACTTCCTGTACACTCCTCCTTATGCTGCTCATTTTCCTACCCTCTCACCTTACCTTATGCCCCTGCTTTTCTTTTTACATGCTGCTGCATATATTGGTTCTGTCTCTTACTCCTTTTTCCTCCTACTGTTTTCCTCCCATTATCTTATAGTCTTGCAATGCACACCCTTTGCTTTTCACATCCTGCCACTCATTCCACTCTTTCCCCTTCCCTTCCACTGCCTCCCTATCTCACAATTGTGCACCCCTTCTTTGCACCACTGCTTCAACCACTTACTACAAGGGCTAGGGATTTGTCTTTTAAAAAGTTAGGGATTTAGACCAGATGATAGTCCAAATATGTACCAGGAATGATACCCAGAATCTTGGAAAACCCTGGCCACATTGGAGACATGACACTCTATGAAAAGGGAACAGAATGCAGCCATAATGTGTTCTCTTATTTGGTATAAAGTGAGAGATTATGGGATGATTTTGTCCTAGGAACAGCATTTTTAAAGAGCAAATATACCATGAGGCATGCTGTGGGGGAAAGAGATTTGTGTGCCATGGCAAGGGGAGGAAGAAGTTGTTTTTTAAAAAAAGGTAAAAACATTCACATCATTGTTGTTGCCTCTTTTAACTTGCTTCCAACTTATGTTGACTCTAGGATATTCACCATTCTCTACACTGTGATGCATTGATTGAGAACTGACTAGTTAATTTATCAGTTTTAATTTCAACAGCAAATTACAATATCAATTTGTTGTTGTTTTTTAATCTGAGGAGTACTGGAGAACAACTGGTAGACCTCACTGCTAGATATTTTGTGTGGTAGTACATCTTTAGAGTTGTTGTAAACAATCAGGGCTGTAAGTCTTCTTCATCCAATCCTGGCGTCTCATCTTTCTTTAGGATGTTGTGTAATCCATTACACTCCTGTCATTTTTCTCCTTCGGCAAAGACCAGCCCACACTGCTAGAATTGGCATTCTCATTCAAAGCTGTCTCTGCATGCCAGAATATTCAGGGAAGGGTCAGCACCTTGTTTCACTGAGCTCTAGAGGAGTCAGTTTCCTGAATCTTTCTTGCCAGTTCTCTCTTCTCCTCAAAGGTGATGCAAGAGTCAAGTGCTCTCATTATGTGTATTGATTTTCATGCCTGTCTAACTGAAAGATAGTTGCCGTTCTGAGCTGTGTGTGTAAGCTTTGTATGAGGCAGCTAGGGAATGAGTAGTTGCCACTGGCAACTAGATCTATGGGCCCTTGGCAAATATATACTCAATTCATTGAATATTTTGATAACATAATTGCTAGAAATAAGAAACAACAGACCTGCCATTAGGTTCATGAAGACTGGAAATCTTGGGAGGATTTGCTGAGGAAGTTTCTTCTTTTTCACTCTGTTAAAAGAATAGCTGTAACTTAGAACAATGTAGAGGCAATTTGAAAGTTGTTATGCTGTTCTCTAGAGGCCATTCTCAAAGGCCATTAAGCAAGGAGCTCTCCTTCTTTCTCTGGAAAGCAAATAAGTAGGAAGCAATCCCCATTTGTGATTACTGTCATTGAGATTACTGTCATTGATGAATATGTTTCAGTGGGATTTGCTTCCCAATAAGTGAAGTCACAACTATAGCCTGGATAAACAAAGAATTTGTGGGAAACTGCTGTAATAACGAATGAAACGTTTTCTTGTTTTTAGTATTATTTAGGGGGCAAACATATCTGAAAGGAATAAGTTCTTTTAGCAAGTCTAAATGAAAATTGCATGGGAAATATTGCATTATAATATTGGTAATAGTAAGGATTAATCTGATATAAATTCACCCCTCCACATTTATAGGTTTAACTTTTGTGGGCTTGATTATTTACAGATTTGATTAATATGTTCTATCTAGAAATTTCTAGATCCTCCAGGGCAACTTTATGGCCAACCTCTGCCAGAAGTTGAATACAGAATCACCCTGGAGGACTTAAGAGGTTCTTAGAGAGGTGTTCTCTGAGCTTTTAAAAGCAGGGTTTTTTATTCATGATTTTTCTATTTTTGTGAATATTCTGTATTCTTAAAGGTCTACTATGCTTCACCCTTGATCCAACATTATATATACCTTCCAACAAAACAATCTACTTCTAATCTCAGTTCATATACGCATAAATTAATGTAATATTTGTAAACATATCAGAAGCATGCAGTGGCATCAGATATGAATTTGTATGATGTAGGCATACACAGTACTCTGTTATGGCACAAGACTTTTTTGAGGAGGCAAAGAATGCCGTCTTCAATACCAACAAGCAGATCAGGTTCTCTTGACACTGACAGAGTTTACTTTTTATAACAGTGGTTTCCCAACGTGTGGTCCGTGGACCACCAGTGGTCCACAAGAACGAAAATATGGTAAATGGCCTCACCATTGCTACACCATTACCTTGAAACCACGCAGTAACGAAAACTACTGGTCTCGCAAAACCCACTTATAGTGCTGAGGCAATGGGGATGTTGGGAGGGGAGAGACTGACTACCCACGAAAGATTACTACTACCACATCAGCTCTAGATTATTAAATGATGTGGTCTATCCAATGCAATTTTCTGAATAACCAAACCAAATCTAAAGTTGACCAAAAACGGATTCGTAACCCTTTTGGTATTAATGTTGTACCCTGGTCAAAGTGGTCCCTTGGTAAAAAAAAAAAAAAAAAGGTTTGGAACCACTGTTTTATAATCATTATCATGGTTCCCAAAAGCTAATTTATCCCTGATGCTGTGTTTTCTCTTATGAAATATGCATTGCCCTAGTTATGCCAGCAACCAGCATTGCAGCCCAAGTTTGCTGATAAAGTTCAAATAGCAAATCTGAAAAAAAGAAGAGCTTTTAGTGCAGTGGGGATATTTGTTTGCTGATCATGATTAATGAAATTGGTGCCTTATCTGAGAAAGGGGTACCAGGCTTACACACAAATCTCTAGCAGTTCTACTGAATGCTCTCATTCAGTAGTCCCTAGGTGAAACACATCTTCATATGTTGTGGTGAATACCTGTTATGTTGCTCAGCCAACTACAGTATATTTTTACATTCCCTTTGGCCATTCTGGACAACATGCTCAGCCCATCCTGTTTGTACCATATTCCCATTCTCAGTTAAAACAAAATGAATGAAATTATTATTATAAGCAGTGATGTACTGATTGTAACCATGATGTTGGTGGGAGTTGAAGCCCTCATAATAATGCGTTTGAAATTAATTTACACATGGGGGAGAGGAGTATGCCTCCTGAGGAGCTGAATTTATTGCTCATCCAAAGGGATGATTTATAGCAAAGTTCTGAGCATCACAAAGTACTGTGTACAAAAATGCAATGTCAGAAGGAAAAAGGCCAAAATGTGATTTAACCACAGTCATTATTCTTGTCTGAGTCTTGAGACTCCTATGGCAAGAGTATCAAAGTCATTGGGCTGTTTTTGTAATATATGCAGATTAGGACAATGAATCTTTACATTTGCACCTTGCCATAATTTTAGCATGGCATCCCAGAAAATTGTACATGAGTTGAAAGTGTTACAACATGTAATTCTTGCAAAATCCAAAGATTCTGACAGTTTTGATTCTGATTCTATTTCCTTTTTTTTATAATAGTTTTTATTAAGGTTTTAAAAAAATAACATCGAAAGAGGGAGAATATTAAAAAAAGATGATAGGAAAGTAGGAAAAAAGTAAGAAATACATCCCCCTACCCCCAGGTCCACCAGAAAAAAATGCAAAAATATAAAAGCCACACAAAATAAAAAAAAGAAAAAAAAGAAAAAAAGAAAAAAAGGAGAAAAAAATATAAAATAAAAATTGACTTCCATCTCTCCATCAGG